TTGGTAAGTTTATTCTCTGCAGTGATTTGGCTTCATTTACATTTGCAGGAGAGCTGTTCGCTCGTTTTCAGCTGCTTATCTTCACTGCTGCTTCGCTGGTTTTAGTCGCTCAGGTCAAACAGCGTAATCAATCAGGTTTGTCGATTTACATTATTTAATGAAACAGATAATGATTCGGACATAATGTGAAATACAGCCGTCTAAAGCGCGAGAGAATGTTGCGCATGCGCATTACGGAAAGGGGGAGATTACAGTATAATGTAAAAGCAGAAAAACGCATACGTTTACAATAAGGGGTTTCTCTTTTCCGCTTTTTCACGGTCTCTTCTCCATGTTTTTTCCCTTTGTTCTGCTAAATAGTTCTGATATGTCTTCAACCCTTGAGTTCCTGGCTTGTATTCAGCATTTTCAAACTTTGCGGTTTAAACGGTTTTGGTCCCATGTAATTGTTTAGAGATGTAAAACTGTGTTAACCGGAGAGTCTAACTGTTTCTGCTACTTCAGGTGCTGACTTTGGCATAAATAACTGCAGATGAGTTGGCTGTTACCAAATACGAACAGTTAATTTTGATCTCACAGAGGTTTATGCTTGGATATTATTTAAAACAATTAACGGCAACAATCCATAGCCAGATAACCTAAACCACTAAACACTGAGGCATTTTTTAATACATTTGGGCACACTGGGTGGAGAAGATCACTGAGATAATCAATCCGCAAAAGATATTATATGCAAATAAACCAAGTTGGAGGCTTTATTTAGTATAAACCACAACATTAATTTACTCTTAAGGTTTTACACCAGACAGGAGCTGAAGCACATTGCTGTTTTAAATATGGAGCACCTAAACAAATCTATGGAAATGCAGATATCAACAAATAACACTCATTTTATAAAATTCTGCTTTGTTGTTATTATTAGAAATTATGACATACTTTATGTTCTGTAACTTGTGCTTTAACAGCTTAATTTCCTCTTTTGTTTTCCACTCAAATAGCAATTGCCCCTGCAGAGGTTATCTAATGCATCCAATCCTGCAACCTGGAAGATTTTTACTCAGAAATACGTGCCACACGGTAAGTGTTTAAGCACTAAATTAAAGCCTACATAAAGTTGCTTCAGTTTTACATGCTGCAGTTTTTCTTGTTGCACTACTTGCAGGTCAGAAAGAAAAATGTAGGCCTACTCTACTTTTGTTTTCAAGGTGTGGTCCAAGCATTACGTTAGTGTTGCCAAGATGATGCGGGCAGTGTGTGTTGATGTACCCGGAGGACCGGAGAATTTGCTGCTGCAGTCTGTTCCCAGACCTAATCCCAAAGCAGGAGAAGTCCTGATTAAAGTTCATGCAGCTGCCCTCAACAGAGCAGACCTGTTACAGGTAGATTATTATTGTAGCCAAAAGAGCATAACACAGTGCTATTATCTCCTGTAAATCTCATAACCTGCTTTCAGTCTTCTTTGACTCACTGTATTCTGAATTATATCTAAATTTGCATAAAACAGGCCTGAAAATAATTATCTTGTGTTTTCCACAGAGACGAGGCCTGTACCCTCCTCCTGCTGGTGAGAGTGACATCATAGGCCTGGAGGTAGCTGGTACTATCCACACCCTGGGTCCAGGGGTGAAAAAGCAATGGAAACCAGATGACCGGGTCATGGCTTTGCTCTGTGGAGGAGGATATGCAGAATATGTTTCTGTGCCCGAGGAGCTTCTCATGCCCGTTCCCTCTAATCTCACAATGTGTCAGGCTGCTGCAATCCCAGAGGCCTGGCTCACTGCTTTCCAACTGCTGGATTTTGTTGGTATAGCAAACATTTCTGTGTCTCTTTGTTTTTCTTCATATTCATATGTTTTTTGGATAAAGATTAGACAACTGAGTTATTAAATGAGTCACATTTATTTCTATTTGACTTTTTTTAATTAACAAGAGGCCAAAGTCAGATTTGGTTCAAATTCTATACTTGCCATCGGTCTTCTCTGCTCCAGCTCAGGTGAAAGAGGGTGAGGTGGTGCTGGTTCACGCTGGAGGCAGCGGAGTCGGAACAGCGGCCGTTCAGCTTGTTCGTCTGTTTCGGGGTGTGCCGGTTGTCACTGCCGGGAGCCCAGAAAAATTGAAGCTGGCTGAGAAACTGGGCGCTGTAGTTGGATTCAACTACAAAGAGGAGAGCTTTGCACAGGGAGTGCATGACTTCACTGGAGGTGAATTATGGAAATCAACGTGCATTTAATTTTGCTGCAGGCGACGGTGCAGTGTCTCTGCTGATAATTCCTAATGATAGCATTGTTTTTGCATACTTCAGATTGCTATCAAATGTTTTGTCTTTGTTTCACAGGCATTATATTAGAGTTAAATGTTTCCAACCACTGTAGCAATCAGAGCTTAATGCTACATAGCTCTTCTGTAGCTTTCTAATAAATGCACATCAAAGAGCTTTGGTAACCAACTCCAAAAAAATCCTCCGTCAATACTTAAGAACCAAGTCAAAACACATGATTTCATTTTCAAGGATAAAAGAAAAATTAGTTGTTTTGTCATTTTAGTTCAAAAAATTTTTTTATTCAATCTGTCACAGTGTATTTGTTTAGAAGAGGGGTCAAGCATAAGACCGGGGGGGAGAATTGGCCTGCCAAAGAGTCCAATCAGGCCCACTGGAAAATGTAAAGGAGGGCATAAAGATTGGAGTTCTCGGTGTATTTTGATTACATTTACAACTTTTCCTACTGATACAAACCTCCCACATGGTCATTCATACTGCACTAATGTAGTAAAGTAGCATTAAAAACAGCGGAAGGATAGAATAGTTCCTATATTTTCACTCTCCACTGCAGAAATGTAGTCTTCATTGGTCTTGTTTAGCCTAGCTAACCTACACCACAAAACACTGAAATAATTTTGAATATATTTGAACACAATGGGTGGAAAAGGTCACCGAAATAATAAATCTGCATAAGAGGATATGATATGCAAATAAACTGAGTTAAAGGCTTTATTCAGTATAGACCACAGCATTAGTTTACTCCTAAACTTTCACACTAAACATGGAGTCAAAGTGGGCTGTGGTGGGCCATGATGTAAAATAAGATTAGCATCTCTGGTTTGGAGCTATTTTGAATCAAGAACGTGATTGTATTGGAGAAGGGCAGTTACCTGTAATTGTAAAATCTCTAATTTCACAGGCAAGGGAGCAAATGTGATCCTTGATTGCATTGGTGGGCGCAACTGGGAGTCAAATGTGAGCTCTTTGGCCATCGATGGCAGGTGGGTGCTGTACGGCACCATGGGAGGGAGGGCAGTAGAGGGAGATCTGCTGGGCAAACTGCTGTCCAAGCGAGGCCACTTGCTCACTAGTCTCCTCCGCTCTCGCAGCCTGCAGGTAAGAATTGAAAACAGAAGTGACACAACAGCTGTGTTTCGTCATCTCTGCGCTGACTCATGTCAGTGTCGCTTTCCTCTCCTGGGTCTGGTTTGCCAAAATGAGGCAACTTGCTTGGGTTACTTTTCAGACATCTCTTGTAATATATATGTTTGCAACTGGACCTGATATGTACTTTGCATTTTCCTTTCACAGTACAAAGCTGACCTGGTGAAAGCTTTTACAGGCAGGGTGTTGCCATATTTCTCAGACCAGCCTGCCACCCTGAGGCCAGTGATTGACCGCACATTTAGCCTGGATGACATTGCAGAGGCTCATAAGCACATGGAAGCTAACAGAAACATGGGGAAGATTGTCATCAATGTGATTCCACAGATTGAGCAAACACAGTGATGAATTCATACTGTAATAGAAACGCACTGGCTTTGAAATTTCCCAAAATACTGAAACCCACTGTCATTGTAAAACTTTTCTTTTGTTAGGAATATTCATAATTTACTAATAAAATAGACCAAATCACTGTTTTTCATTTTCTGTTCTAGTATTGTTACGATTACGTCCCGTGTTACTGTTCTTTTTCTATCCCCTATTCATTGAGGTGAGTTTTCTCCTGTGGTGGTCTTACTCACAATTTTCTACTAGCAGCATAGAAATGACAGAAATGTGCATTTCAATGCATGATCAATGTTTACAATAGTTAACTAAAAAGCTAATTTGGGAAAAAAGGAAAACTAACTCACAAAACTAGAAATACATAGATAGTAAATGTTATAAGTTTTAATCTTTGGCAGTTTAGATACTTTTTTTTTTATCACAGCCTGCCTGATTAAATTTTGTTGCATTTGCTTATTGAGACTTGGGATGTCTGTCTACATGATTGTGAGTCAGCTGACATTTGTACTGTAACAATACCTGTTTTGATTTTCCTAAATTTCGCCCCTGATAATAATCCTCAGAGGTCACCACAGCAGATCATCTCCCTTCATCTCACCCTATCTATTCTCATCTGCCACACCAACCCTCTGCATATCCTCCCACAGTACATCCACGTACCTCCTCTGTGGTCTTCCACTTTTTCTCCTTTTTAATCCTCGTCTCTCCAGGGCATATCGCCACCTTTCTTAACTCTTCTTCATCTGCTCCCTACTTTCACTAAAGATCACAATGTTGTTTGCAAACATTATATACTCCATGAAGATTCCTGGCTGACCTCATCAGATCACAGATCCAAACTAGAAGGGGTGAGATGTTTCTTGATGCAATCCCACGCCCACTTTCAACACATCTATCACTACTACCTCAGTGTTATCATACATTCCGTGCACCACCCTCACACACTTCTCTACCTCGCTATAATTATAAGAATAAAACGTCATTTGAAACTGTATTGGAAAGAAAAAAATCGAATAAATAATAAATAAATAAATAAAAATAAATAGAAAATAGCAAACTATAATAACTGTCAAGGTCTTCAAATTTTATGTGAGCTGAATCTTATATTAATAAATTAAAAAAAAAATCGGAAAGGATTTAGAGACGACTCTCTAGACGATGCTGATTGGTTGTGTACTTGTTTAAATAAAGTTCTTTAAATTGAAAAAAAAATGTTCTCAAACTTCCGGCTTCTGTGTTGCGGCTCCTTTCACAACTTCCCTCCAGGTCCCGAGGAGGCAAAGTTAACATAAAAAGGTCGTGTAACTGAGTTATTTTAATGAATAAATATTAAATTAGTCAACGGACAACATTCGGACTCTATGATTCGACGGAAAACAGAGAATATCTTTATTTATCTGGTAAGTAAGAGTGAGCATGTTCCTCAAGCCGCCCTGCTAAACGTATCTGCGTCAGCTAGCAGTCTGAACCCGCAGGTGTTCACGTGAAATAAAGCAAAACAAGTTGAATGTAAGAGCTAAACTAATGTTTTTATGAGTGAGCTGTAGTTATGCAGCCAGTCGTGTTAAAAGCTGATTCATGTGAATGAATTGTTGACTTATAATCGGTCAAACATCTCTCATGAATATCAAGCCATTTTGAACCAGAAGTAACATTTCTGTCACAAGTTAGAAGCTGCAGTCAGTGTTTGGGTAAAGTGCCGCCTATGTCCTTTATTTATCAAGGTAACAAGTTTTGTTGACGTTACAAATGTCAAATTCAAGACAAATTTAGCCAGTAGGGTAGCAGAATTTGCCACAACTATAACATAACAGCTCTACAACATGTAAGTTAAGGAGTGCTGAAATGCATTTGTTGTTCTTGAAAGAGACTGGCTGACCTTTTTAAGTGAAAAGGTAAATGTGAAGGAGTATGATGTCCTTTTAAGGAAAACAAACATCCCCAGCAAATAGGCCTATTTAGGTTTATTAGCAATAAACAAGAGTTGTAAACCAGTGTAATTACACGTGTTAAAGCACTTTACCTAACTGCTGGTATGAGGAACTTTTGTATTTAAACTTGATCCTACTTTCTGTTTTGAGCTTTATTTGGATATATGACTGTATGTGGGATTTGCATGTAGGATTATCCCAGAGAACCCCAGCTTTCACCCACAGTCCAAAGACGTGCAGGTTAGGCTAAATTAGGTTAATTATACAAATGTGTGCAAGTAATGCGCCTACTTCAATGCAGATTAATGATATACTGAATGATGTCCTTGGTGAGCGTGCTGTCCATCAGAACTTCCAGATATGTTCTTTTTTCCCCTCAAACTTCTTTATTTCAACTAAACTTTTGAGCCCTTGAAGTTACTTTCCTGATCTGTCTGCATTGTGCCTGTCAGAAAAGGGTGGAATTGTTTACATTTTTTATGTCACAGAAAACACATCCTGAAACATGGAGGATCCAAACAGACCACAGAGGAAAATGTCAACAGCAGGAGAGAGTTTGTACAAGTTGCTGGGAGTGGAGAAGGGAGCGTCTCCTGACGAATTGAAAAGAGCCTACAGGTGTGACTATCTCTTTCAGTTCTGAGCTACAAGAACTAATAAATAAAATGTTACTCTCGCTTGTTAATTGTGCTGTTCTTACAATAGCACAATTAACTAGTGAGAGTAACATCATTGTTTCAGAGATTTATGGCGACATTAGTGAAATCTTAGGCTACATCCACACTAGACCGGATAGATTTGAAAACTGCATTTTCATTTGAAAACGCTCCGTGTCTCTTCTAGCATATTTAGTAATTTTCACAGAGTTGTGCATCCACATTGAAACGGCCGAAAACGCTTACGTTCCAGTACTGTGCATGCGTGAAACGCAAGAAGATTTGACCTGCCTCATTTCTTTCTGCCGCTTTGAAACGTCGCAGCAAAATTTCAAAGAAAAGCACCGACTTTTTTAAACCCTCACTTGTTTGTATATGTTTTAATTTCTCTTTTGACCAGGAAAATGGCATTAAGGTATCACCCTGATAAGAACCCAGACAACCCCGAAGCAGCTGAGAAGTTCAAGGAGATCAATAATGCCCACTCCATCCTCACTGATCTGGACAAGCGTGGTATCTACGACCAATATGGATCCATGGGCCTCTCGGTGGCCGAGCAGTTTGGGGAGGAGGGAGTCAAATATTACTTTCTCATGTCCAAGTGCTGGTTCAAGGTGAGAGGCAAGGGGATGTAGTTTTAAAGGTGAAAACAGAACATGAAGTTGTTTGTTCTGGTAGTAGGTGAATTATGCAGAAATTTAAATGCCAAAATGTGACCAGAGCATGCTGCAAAGTGTCCAAAAACTCTCCTAATACTCACATTGGTTTTCTTTTAGACCCTGTTTGTGTGCTGCACTATTTTCACCTGCTGCTGCTGTTGCCTCTGCTGCTGTTGCTGCTGCGGAAAGTGCAAACCACAAGATGAAGAGGACAATTTCGTCTACATGGACCCTGAGGACCTGGAGGCTCAGATTAGAGAACAAGATGCAGGTGAGGAACTGTTTTATATTCACTTAAGAATGTATACAGTTGAGCAAGGCAGCAGCTTGCATAGAAACAAAGAGCTGGAGTTGGAAACCCAAATGGTGTAGTGTCCAGTTTCTGATTGTCAGCATTTTTAAGATGAAAATGTTTCCTCTAGAAATCTAGGATTAATGATATGGAAATATTATTTTTCACAGCTTAATCTGCCTTTTTTTCACAGATATAGTTAATTATGTGTTTTCCTGTGGAAAGTCTGCACAGGAAGGCGTTAACTGGGTTCTCTTAGATACAGTCGACAGCCTCTTGAAGTGTTTACTGCCCAGTTTTGCTGTACTGATAACACGGGTGTTACTTTATGCTGAGCAGTTGTAACCCTGCCGGTAATCTTGATCTTAACTGTGCATGTGCAGTAAATCCAGCAGGAAGTTAACTTTGCCAAGAAGGGGGGTACATCTTCATTCAGTATAGGGCATGTTTAGAAAATGATAGTCTATAAAAATGAAGTAAACATCTCAGATGAACAACAGCTGATGACATATTACACTGCCATTGTTTCTTTAATATACACTAAGCTAAAATGCAGAAGCAGTGTGTGGGTAAACGAAGTACACCCCATGACTCAGTAGCTTGAAGAACCACGGATGGATGGATGACTTCATCAGTGTTTCACAGGGATGCAGGGACTTTGGCCCACTCTTCTTTATAACGTTGCTTTGGTTCATTGAAGTGGAGGCATTTGTTTATGCACAGCTCTCTTAAGGTCCCACCGCAGCATTTTAATCGTGACTTTGGGTGTCCCATTGCAACTCGTTGATTTGTTTCTTTTCAGTGGGGTGTGTGGGGGTATTTACCAAAGCACAGCTCTGAGCATGTTAACTGGGTTGTGGTCTGAACTTTTACTGGGCCTCTGCAGCACTTTTTCTCTCTTTTTTTTTTTTTTTTTTTTTTTTTTTTTTAGCTGGTGTGTATTTGCTGCTGTGCTTGCGATCATTGTCCAATTTCATTACCTAATTTGGGCCAAACTTTTAGCTGTCAGACACATGGCCTAACAGTTGACTCTAGAATAATTTGCTATACAAAGGAGTTCATGTTTGACTCAATGGCTGCAAAACGAGCCTAGATCATCACCCCTTCAAGGTTTTGTTCAGATGCAACTTTCCAAACCTAAACCATACTGTCACTTTTAATTTTTTTTTCTTTATTAAACAAGCCATACTTGTTTGGTCTGTTTTTAATTGTTTTCTCTCGAACTTTAACATTTAACATGATAACTGTAGCCTAAAGAATCTCAGATACAGACCTCTTGGAGTTTTTTTTCGTTTTTCTGATCTCTGGGTAAATTTGCTAGGAAGATTGGCAGCTGTCTTGAATGCTTTCGACTTGTGAATAATCTTTCTCATTGCAGAATGATGGACTTTACATTTTTATCGAAATAGCCTTAATATCCCCCCCACCTCCATCTAATTTTAAGACGTGCTAAATGGCAAAATATTTTTTACTTTTATCCTCATGAAACCTGCGCGTCGAGTGGAAATTAATGAAATGTCACTCTAATCCATTACATCTTGCCCTGATCTTGATCCGTGTAACTGGTGATACTTCACCTCTAAACTCTGTCGTCTTTGTACATTTCAAGCCGAGACCAAAGCAGGTGAAGAGATGTCGTTAAGAAGCTGTGTGTTGAATTTTGTTTTACAGCAGACCATCCCGTAATAGTTATTCAGCCGAACTCTAGCGATGCTGCTAGCCATTCAGGTAAGGTGTTATTCCATCTTCAGGTAACGTTCACCTGTTGTCAGCTTCCTGCTGCTCTGCGCTGCTTGACTCGCCTGCTAGATTTTACAGCAGTGATTCACTGTGGAAGATTTTTTTTTTGTCCATGTATTAAATCCTTAATGTGAAGGACGCATGGGAAATCCAAAGCTTTTTTTGTTGTTGTTTTTTTTTTTTTTTTTTTTTTTAAGTGATTTATGTCCCTTATCACATACCGAGGACTTTTTGATGATGTGCTGTGTTTGGTTTTTCTCCAAACGTGGTCCTGCGGATTGTGGACAGATGTCTCCACTTTGGTCTCATCTGTCTAGTGGACATTGTTCCAGATGTTTTGTGGTTTGTTCAGATGCGATTTTGCAAACCCAATAGCCCCCCCCCCCCCCCCCCCCCCCAGTCTAATTTTCAGACGTGCTAAAGGGGAGATCGTTTTTGTTTTACTCTGACAAAACCTGCATGTAGAGTCGTATTAATGAAAATCACTAATGCTGATTCTGTTGCCTAACAAAATGTCACTCTAATCCTTTAAATTCTGCCCTGATCTTGATCTCTGTAATTGATGATCCTTTGACACCCCCCCCCCCCCCCCCCCCCCCAAACCCCTGAATGCTTGTTACGCTGTTAATTGCAATCGAAGCTGTAAGTTTGTTCGTATACTTTAAACACTGCTTCTGCATTCTGGCTTATTTCTGTTAAATAAATAATGACACATGTCATAGGTCAAGTGAGGTTATATTTCTGTCATTTTAAGACGTGCTGAAGGTCAGATTACTGTTATTCTAATACATGAGACTTGCATGTAGAGTGGCAGTTATTAAATTCGCTGGTGCTGTTGCCTAATAAAATGTCATGCTAATCCTTTAAATTCTGCGCTGATCTTGATCTCTGTATTCTCTCGTCTTTGTACATTTCAAGCCGAGACAAAAGCAAGCGAGGAGATGTTGTTAAGAAGCCGTGTTGATTTACCCAGTGTTGAATTTTGTTTTACAGCAGACCATCCCGTAATAGTTATTCAGCCGAACTCTAGCAATGCCGCTATGCATTCAGGTAAGGTGTTATTCCTCCTCCAAATACATTCACCTGTTGCCGGCTTCCTGCTGCTCTGTGCTGCTTAACTTGCTGCTAGATCTTGCAGCAAAGAATTGATTTAAAGGTTTTTGTGCTGCTTATGTTTGTTGTTGTTGTTGTTGTTGTTGTTGTTGTTGTTGTTGTTAATGAGAAAAGATTCATTAAGTGTTTTTCAGTGTTTCTATCTTAAAGGATTTTGGAAGGATGTTTGTTTTGTTTTTATGGCGTTATACTATTTATATGGTTTATTCCCTGCTATAAAAGATCATGGCTCAAACTGTAATAGTAGCGGTTTTCTTTTTAAGCTCTTTGGGTTTTATTTAATAATGGTTATAGAAATTTAGACTGTAAGTGTTGTCCATTTCCCACATTATATAAAAAAAAAAAAAAAAAAAGGACACAGAACAGAGTCATCAAAGTCTCCTTTTGCATGTATGAGCAGATTGCACAGATTGATCTTGACACATAATAATTCGTACAGATTTATAGTTCTGGAGTTTTGGCTGAAAGATTTGTACAAATATGGAGTGACATGAAATTTGGTACCGATAGTGTTCACTTAACTTGTTTTCTGGGGCCATCATCTGGTCAAATACCTTGCTTTTGTGCGCTAACATGCTAAACTAAGGCAGTGAACCCAGGCAGTAATATTATTTATGTATTTATTTTTAAATGACGAGACGTACTTTCCTTCATGTTTCATTTTCTGTGAGACGTAAGTGGTTTTGATAGCTTGTCTGATTTAAGAACACTCCCACACCACACACCTGTTCATCACCTGTTCTTGTTACCTTCTGCAGGGGAGAACACACCGATTGTGATTCAGACTCACGCAGCCAAGGGGGGCTCAGGACCTGGAGAATGAACGACTGTATCAAACACTGAAGTGCAGAAAATGTTTTCATCTCAGAGATTTGTTTGTTTACATGAGTCAAACTGCAATTTATTTGATTGTGCCATAGTTATTTTTTTTAAAATGTGCTTTTTCTTTGATCCAGTCTTGTATTTATTCTTTTAAAATGTTAAATTTCTGAATTTGGGGCGGAGACTAATAACAAAGCCATGCAGATCAAAGCCTCTGAGCTCGGGGATAATTATTTTTTTCCTGCGCACTTTAAACTCACACATTCATATTGAATGTTTGGAATATTCTGAAGCTGCCATGATCAGAGCACGTTTTGGCCCAAGATTCAGAAATTTTCAGATTTTTATTTTTAATATGCCGATTCAGGGGTTTCTGTGGAAGCTTGCTTCCAGCACTGGAAAGGGGAAAAAAAAAAGCCAAGCGTAAATCAGAATTTTGGTGTCAGATCTCAAAATTTCGACTCAATGACTCAGGATCTCAAGTCGAGTCTCACTTAAAGTTTCACCTAATCAGACGTGTGAGCCGGCAAGTGGAAATTTTGAGATGGTGACTTGAAACAAAACAAAAAAAAAAATGCTTGTTCGGTCGCACTGCACATAGAAACAGACTCTATGTTAAACGGTTTACTGATGTGGCCACAGATCACACACAGATTTATCAAACAAAGGTTTAGTTTTAAAATTTTAGCGCTGCCTTATGTGACACATTCAGTTGCCAGCTTGTAAATGACTCTTTGAAGTTTAGTCTTGTGATGCTTGCAGAGATTTTAAGGAATTACTAAATTGCCTAATTCTGAGAGTTGGATGAAGACTGTTGATCACATTTGTGTTTGTCCACTTGAAATCTGTAAATGGATCAAATACCCCCCAAAATGATTTGTCTTCCTATAAATGCCATAATTGTAAAACCAGATTTATATACCTGCTTTTAATTAACACAAAAAGATTGGATTTACTTCAATGGTACGTTTAGAAATTAGTCTAAACGCACCATTGAGTTACATTTGGCACACCCCTTTAGGGCGAGTGCAGCAATGTGTAGAAACCAAAGAAATCACACGGAGGCTTCTGCTGTAGCGCCCTCTTTGTGTGTGATTTCACCTAACAACAACCAGCAAGCCCCAGGAACCACTCGCCGACCAGCTGGGGGAGCACACCTTTTTCCAAGCCGCCTCCTCCCTCACTACCTGAAGCAAAGAACCGGCTGGACCAGTGGACCACTGTTTATTCTGTTTGTGCAAAGATTAAACAAAAGACATGTTTTGGACATGTTGATTGATGTTTCCACTTGTGATGTTTTCAACCTTTATGCTTAAGTCCCTTTGGCTCCTGCTCAAGCTTACTTAATTATACACACAGGCACAGTGACAATAATCTGTTTTAACTCCTGGAAAGTGAGCCAGTGTTTCAGAAGAGGTACAGTTGGTCATTTTTGTCATTGCACATAAGTAAAAAAAATATGCAGGGAGGTGAATAGAGTTGTGTGAATTTTTCTACACTTGACACTAAAACCATCGTTTGTTTCTTTAGAAAATAAGATCGCAGCTTTCTGATTTATTGCCATTTTGACTTTTTTGTGTATGTCGTGATTGTCTTGTAAAGTCAGAGATGTATATTTATGATTAGAGGATTTATTACAAATTGAGTATTAAGGTAAAGATTCTTTTGTTTAAATGATATTTTTCTATTTTCTCTCGGGGTAAAAATGTTGAGGTTGTGCTTCATTTTGATTTCATTTTATACAAATCTGGCTATAATAATAATTTGGATGCTGATTTTCTGACGATCCTTGACTGCGGTGTATTTAAAAGCCTGCTTGTATACTTTTGTATGCCAATGATTATACTTGACGCAAAAGTGCCTGAATGCAGTTTTTGAATAATTTTACAGAAGTGTATTTTATGTCATTATCTAAACATTTCCATGCTGAGTTTGTTCTGTCTACTTTGACAGATTTCCAACTGTTGGTGTAAATTTGAGTTTCTTCTAAAGCATTTCATGAAATAAAGTTGAATAATTCAGAAAATGTCATGCGGTTGTCTTATAATTTCACTGGAGTTGGCGCAGTAACCTGCCATTGGCTCCTGCAGTGCTCCACCCCTGAGAGATAGCGTAGGTTAGAGCAGGTGGTAAGTTGCCAGGCTTCCCTCTAGCTCCAGGTCAACCTTAAATACGGGAGTGTCTCAGCTGTCAATAACATGAGGATATGGAGTCATCAACAGATCCAGAGAAGCAACATTTGATTGAGACTCATTCGGAGCCTCTTGTGTGGTACGTCTTCATTTTTCATTTGACCTCCTGAAACACCAAAGTTCAACACAGATGGCTTTAAAACTGTTGACTTCCACATTGAGCCAGCCTAAGTGTAGATCTTCCGTCTTGTGTCAGGGTGAGCGGTCCAGAGAAAAAGTGCTCAGACTCAGAATTCAGTGAAGACACCCTCAGTGTGGAGGGGCTGTGGCAGCACGAATGGCTCTGCCAAGAGGCCAATTGGAGGTCGGTGACTGAAAGGGACTCGAGATGTTTGGCCAGAAAGAAGCTTTTCACTGCATGTGCCGTCAGCCTTGTGTTCATGACAGGAGAGGCCATTGGTGAGACAAAAGACTCATCACAAATTTCCATGCCAGCAACTCTGATTCTGCCAAATAAAATGAAGTTTACCTATATTCGTTTTTTACTGTGTCATGCATAAATATGTAAAGCTTGCTGAGTTTGAATCGCTCCATACAAACTTGATCTTAAAGTGACACACTCAGGCTTCCTCTGCCCAAACACACATACGGTTTCCTCTGCAGGTGGATACGCCGCTGGCAGTCTGGCCATCATGACGGACGCAGCTCACCTTCTGACTGATTTTGTCAGCATTGTAATCAGCATCTTCTCTCTGTGGATCGCATCAAGGCCTCAGACAGGAACCATGACTTTTGGATGGTATCGAGCTGGTAGGAACAAGGTTCTCACGAGTAGCTCTCAAGAATACACTCACCAGCCACTTTGTTAGGTACACAGGTTAAGATTCATTAACCGAAGTAGCAGTACAACATAGAAGGGTCAGAATTTGGAATAAACAAGTCAAAAGAATGAATCTGTCCTGCCTTGTATCGACAGTTTAGGCTGGTGGAGGTGCTGATGTTATGGTGGGATATTTTCTTGGCACACTTTGGATCCCTTAACTGAGCATCATTTAAATGTCACTTTTGATGGCAGCATCCTGCAGGAGAACAAACAAAGCTCACATCATGTCAAGCTGGTTTCTCGAACATGACAGCAAGTGCACTGTACTCAAATGTCCTCCACAGTAAATAGATCTCAATCCAGTAGAGCAGGGATGTGGTGGATGTGGACTGTGTGCCATAATCATGTGAATATGGACCAAAAGCTTTCAGCTCATTGTTAAATTTGTACCATGAAGAATTCAGGCAGTTCTGAAAGCAAAAGGGCGTCCAACCCGATACTAGCAAACTGCCCATTGAATTTATGTGCACATTAGTCCATATGAGTTGCACGTACTCATATCCTTCATATTTTCGGGGCCATTTCTGACTCTGTTACTGTTTCACGCAGAGGTTCTGGCCATGTTTCTATCAGTCGTGTCGATCTGGGCCGTGACAGTAGTGCTCGTCTTATCAGCCGTGCAGAGGATCTCCGACGGGGAATACGAGATTGACAGTGAGATCATGCTCATAACATCAGGCTGTGCTGTGGGGGTCAATGTCCTGTAAGTGTGCCGAGCTTACTTTATGGATTATTTCTGCTTGGTTTAGGGGGGCAGTCAGCAGCGATGAGTGATGACGTCTATGCTTTGTTTTACCCAGGATGATCCTGATCTTGCATCAGCCTGGCAACTCACATGGCCACAGCCATGGGTTTGCCACCAACCTGACCCAGAGGGACAAGCATGGGCAGAGGAACGGCCACGGTAATGCAAGTGTGAAGGCAGCTTTCGTTCATGTGGTGGGAGATCTGGTGCAGAGTGTCGGTGTCATGCTGGCTGCCACCATCATCCACTTCTGGGTCAGTGTAAGATTAAAAATAACAGTTAAATAACAAAAATAATCAGGATGGGCTTGATACAGCACTGTACTCTCCAAGTACTCAATATCACTCCATCAATTGTTTCTGATCATATTTCTGTCTTCTTCACAGCCTGAATATAAAGTAGCAGATCCAATTTGCACCTTCCTGTTCTCTCTTCTCGTTATTGGGACAACGCTTCCTGTCACAAAGGATGTTTTCAGGATACTGCTGGAAGGTAAACACACTTCCCTCCGCCTGTGGTGACGTTCAGATTTTAGCGACAGTTTAACGTGTGTATTTTCTGAAGGCGCTCCTCGGGACGTGAGTTTCGGCGCCGTGAGAGAGCTGCTGCTGTCTGTAGGAGGAGTCACCGCCATTCACAGTTTACACATGTGGAGCCTCAACACGACTCATTCTCTGCTTTCCGTGCACCTTGCCACAGGTAAGAGGCGAAGACGGTACTGTTATGTGGAGAGGAAGCAGAACCTGCGCTAAAGCCCAGTAAAAAACAGAATTTCCAGTTTTATTATGCTGTTGCCAAATATAAGTTACTTGAAAAATATGGCAAAAAACAGAAATTTTTTTTAGTTATTTTCTGCTTTTGAAGTTGATATCACTGAAAATAGATACATATAAAAATCAAATAAGACTTGGAAATCCATAATAGTCTATTGCAAATCTGTCTGCAGATTTTTGGGAGTGCCCACTGCCCCCTTGCCCCTCCCTTGGTGGTGCCCCTGCTAAAACTATGGAGGTTTAATTAGAAATGAAACACCACACGCCCATCCTGCGCCTTTTATCCTGGTCCTGTAAACATTTGTTTATTGTTTGATCAGAGTGTTTGTATTCTAAGTAAATAGGATGGAAAACCCTTTGGCAAATATTGATCTATTACAGCAGTAATGTAAGGTGCCAGTCAACTGAAAAAGAAAGTTCTTATTGCTTCCACAAGAATTAGGAGGGTAAGAAGCAGCCAGGTGCTGCTAATCAGATGCACGTGATTAAATGATCATCAGCAAATGATTAATTCATTGATGAACTCTATAGAAGTAAAGGTTTTTGGCAATTTTCTGGAGCATTCTAGTTCTTTCTAGGAGGGAAGGTCCCAGAAAACTAAAAAAAACTAAAAACTAAACTAAACTAAAGAACCCCCAAGATCTAACTCTCAAATTCTACAGGCCTTAGTTAACATGTGAAATATTCAAGTCCATTGGTAGCACGTTTAAAAAAAAGACTAAGTATGACTTCTCTGCAAATATAACATGGCGGCACAGGTTTGCAAAGTTGCATCTGAACAAACCACAACACAGGAAGTAATGAAGAATATGGACACAAACACCTCAAAACAACCCCCAAAAGGTTGATTGTGTTCATCTGGATGTAGCGTTTTCAGTGGGAGAAACGTTTCGTCGCTCATCTAAGTGACTTCTTCAGTCTCAGCTGACTGCAGGTTTCCCCAATCTTATAAACAGTACATTTGCCCAATGACTGAAACTAGCACCACTGAATGAACAATGGGCTGTGAGGTCAGTTCATTGATCATTAATATGCAAATTCTCATGACCATTGATCAACAACCACTGATCCATGGCCATGAGTACCATTCATAGAGAGTTGGGGAATGGCTGCAATCACAGCATTGTAAGATGGCGAAAGATGGCCCCTTAGGCCCCCTCCTTGATTCAGAGATGGTCTTTCCCTTTTCACGTAAGTGGCCTCCTTGACTCTGCGCTGCAACCAGCGTTCCTCCCCGTCCAGGATGTGTACATCCTCATCATCAAAGAGTGTCCACTGGCCTGTAGGTGTAAAGAGTCTGCAGAGTCCTGGCCTGGCGAGTTAGCTCTTCTGCGTTGCGCAATCCACTTCACCAGAGGTTGTTTGGTTTCCCTGATGTTGAAATCACGGCAGCCATTCCCCAACTCTCTATGAATATAATCTGATTTATGTAGAACACAAAAAACCCACAAGTTCAGCATACACGATAAACAGGTAAAATATTGTCATTTTGGGCTGAAGTTTTATTTACTTCCATGAACTTCTGCGTACAAGCAAAATTCTAGCATCCACAATAAAATGAAGAGGAAGAGTTGAGCCAAAGTTGTAGAAGAAGAGCACTGATGATTAAATCATGTCATTGTCTGTATTTATTTGTTTGTTTGTTTTTTCCAGAGGAAGATGCTGATTCGCAGATCATCCTCAGGAAGGCAACAAGGGTCCTGTGCTCCAAGTTTGGTTTTTCCAGCATCACAATTCAAGTGGAGAGCTGCAGGATTTCGGGCAGCAGTGTAGAGGTTTAAAGTTGACTGAACTGTGACTGCAAAAGTAAAGGCACTGGGTGCTCCCATTTAACAGCTTTGTTATGATATTTTGATACCACGGTTAGCATTTACAGGAAAACTGTTACTCAATAAGGCCAATCTACTAGTTGTTTTTCTCTTTCTCTGTGACCCAAGAATTAATGTGTAAGACTCACAAGCTGGTACCTCAAGGTCGAAAACACCACAGAGATGAGACCACTTCCTTACTCCCATCCTCCCTTTTTCTTTATCTCCTGGAAAAGGCTCGTTAAAGGCTAGGTGGTTTGTTTCAGAATTCACTGATGAAAGAACTCTGTATTCTATGTCTAGGAGTGTATTTTGCTGGGATGATCATAAATTGTAGCTGAACTGATAAACTACACAAGGGATACTTTGCTCAGAAGGCAGGAAGACGTTTCCTTATTTGGTCTGTACCGGTTTGAACTGGGAAAGCTGACACACGAACCTTTTTTCATCTATATAAACTGCTGTGTATCAAATAAACCTTTGAGTTGATTTGGGAAGGCAACCTGAAGCAGTCTGTGTTTCCTTGTTCTCCCAAGCTGCTCCCGGCGCTGTAACTAACCCAGCTGAACGGCATACCTGAGTGTTACTTTAAATAATTAGGAATCTTAGAAGGAAAGGACAAAACTCTGCTTATCGCTCACGCCACGGAGGAAACCCGGGACGGCAATTTCCTTCAAGCTTCATAT